CGCTCATTCAGCGGCTGGCTGGATTTGGCACTTAATATTTTCTCTAAAAAAAAAAAATCTCCCTCCAAGCAGTTTCCCAAAGTTGACAGCCCTGACTAAGTACCCCTAGGACTTTTAGCAAAATTGCATTAGACCGATCCTTAAAAAGCATGGCATAGAACGGGATAATCAATTTGCAGTAGGCTAATTTAAGACCTATATAATTATATCCATATTAGAGAAGTGTTATGACAATGTCACAATGAATGAATGAAAGAAAATCCAAAGAAAAACATATCCATTGGAACATTCAACATGCAGCCTTACGGCATCCCAATTGCTAATATATTTTCTCTCCAGCACATCCAAAATTCAGCAGCTAGATTGATCACATTAAGTAGGAATATATGACCATATATCACCTGTTCTTTGCTCACGTCATTGGCTACTGGTCCATTCTCGCATTACTTTCAAAACCTTACTTCTTTCATACAAAATAGCACATAACCTTGTCCCTAAATATCTTCTTGACCTAGTCTCCCTTCGATCCTTCTCTTCTATCAGATTCCTCCGTTCATCTTCCTCCATGCAACTAATTCACGGCCCACGAACAAAAACACGTTATGGTGACCGTATCTTCATCGATCGCCCCGCCCTCTGGAACAAACTCCCACCCCATATTCAAAATGCCCCATACATTGAATCCATCAAAACCCAACCTTTTAACCATTTATAGTATAATGGAGGCGCGCACTGGTAGTTAATCCCATTCAACTGAGTTGTATTGTATTAGTAATAATTTATTTCATTTTGTTGGTTTTAAGCTATTAAACATGTTAAATAATTATATTTAAAGTTAGACAGCACCACCTGTGCGCTTAGAAACACCTGTATAAAGCGCCCTATAAATGCAATTATTATTATTAATTATTATTAATAGGGATGGTGCACCCGTCCTATATAATTTATACAGAGAAGAGAGAGTTAAATCTTTTGAATAAAAACAAACGGATTTTTTCCATTCTGACCGTTCGCATATGCTTCTAATTTAAAGCAAATGAGGGCAATATCTCTAAAAATGTCCCACATTTTGCTCACTATGCTCGCTCGAACTTACAGTTTATAGATACTAGTATAGCAGTATCTACATTCAAATTCATGTAAATTGGGATCAATGTCTCTGGTGTGTTTCCCTGTTTTATGGACGTGTCATTTTTGTTTGTGCCCCCCCTTAAAGATGTTCCACCACCCTTTAGATACAGTTGTTTCAACAGTGTTTCCATAGGTATTGGTTTTCTTATAATTTTATAGAAAAATAATCTGCCTGCAACCATTAAGTTTGCTATGCCATTAATATGTAAAACAATGAAATCTAGATAATCTAAAATACATGTACACACGTGGCGGAAGAGAGAGAGAGAGAGAGAGAGAGATAGAGAGAAAGAGCAATAAAGAGAGACAGAAAGCAGAGGGAGAATAAGAAAGACGGCGAGGGTATTTAATACATACATAGCTATAGCGCCTCAGTTTATACAGAAGAAAATAGAATAAATATACTGCTCCAATTCCGCTTCATTCACATCAGAAAATTATATCACCTTCTTTTCTCCTCCTGTTTGCCTCTAACACTTCCTCCACAAAGTTATAAATACACCCCATACTATATAGTCTACCCACGTACAATCATTTCTTCTCTTTTACACTTTTATCTCACTTCCGTGTTTAAAATCCCGATTTGTTCATACTCAATCAAAGCAACACACGATATAATCTCACCCAAGCTAGACGTCAGCTGCTATTCTAACCTTCGATAATGACAACTTTGTTGGAAGAAGAAGAATTCATCAATTTCTACTCCTAATTTGTGCTTCAGACGCAATCAAAATGGCACCGAGTTGCATAGCGTCGAACTTCAAACTAATGCGCATTTGGCAGTGATATGCATGTACAGTTTCAAGAGCAACTCACATTATATGCATGCATACAATGCAAACGAAATGGCAAGCAAGAAAAAAAGAATATGACAAGTGATAGGCACCGTTGCACTTTGAAAATAAAATGATATAATTATGAATAACAGAAGGCTTCTATTTGGGACCCTGTTTCATCAATCGCCGTATGAGTGACAAGGTAGAAATCTGATAATATTATATGCTACTGAAACACTTGCATTTGTCAATTGGCTGTAAACAATTTTGTTACAGCAGTTTGTCACTTGTAATTGATAAGTCTAATGAAGATTGGGCCTAAAAAAACATTTTAGCGCTAGTCATAGGATGCGAATAATCTTGCTTTTCAATGGACGTGTTAACAAATTGTATGCATACTTTTTTAAACACAAGTTCCTCTTGACGACTTATAAGCTCACCAGAGGGTTGCCAGACATGAACATGAATCGTCGAACACACAACGACAAAATAACGGCCAGTGACTCGGAAGAGAACAACAAGATAAATATAAAAGTTTGTATTTAAATTCCAATAGAATGATACAAAATGAAAGAGATAAATAATTGCTATGATATGAACAAGGAAGTTATGTGTGTTCGCTTGTGTGTGTGTGTGTGTGTGTGTGTGTAAGTAGAGAGATGGAATTGAGAAACATTATTATGAAAAATAATAGAATTGTGAGGGTTCATGAGATAGATAATAAGAGCGACATTTTGTCTTTCTCTCCTTCTTTTCTTCCTTTTTTCTTCTTTTTAACACGCAAAATTTGAATTAACATGCGACTTCGAAAGAGGAAAAACAAGTGTGCAGTGCGAGTGCAAATCCTAGTGAAGAATTTAAACTGTAAACTTCTTATCTGTCACATACACTCTCGTACAGAGTATTAAACCTAAGCACTGTCATTATGCTCCATGCCTTGCTAAATACCCAGTACTACAGCACACCCACTAACCACTGCGTCATACCTTCATAGCTTACCCGAGTATTACAACATTCTAACAGGGTGTCAAATCATGTCGAGCATGCTTTATGATATGGAGGTCAAAGGTGATCTTATTCTTTTCATCTATTCATTCTGATAAGCTGTGCATATCAGAATTTGTCATTGTTCGCTTTCAGGTAGGCACGCAATGGAGTTTCATATGAACGGGTTTCCCATGCACCTTTACATTTAGGCCTTACCCCAAATTTAGATGATATGAGTGCACAAATAGAAAGGAAGACAAATGAAAATCTCAAATGTTATCATGACTACTACATGAGAACACCTTTTATGTACCTCCGAAACTGTTTACAGAGCAATGAACGTGGAATCAAATGCAGGCGATTTGCTTATGTGATGTATTAGATTTATGCGCTCTTTAATATGTTGTTGTTTACATTATACAAAAAGATGGATTCTGATGAGTATAATAAGGAACATGTGTGTTCCCAACAACCAAGGTGTGTACTAAATAGACATTGTCTGATGTATGTATACAATTAAGGCTGACTATAAGGTTTACCTCTATACCTCCTTATCACACCACTGTTTCTTTCTTCTCACGCATCCAACGGTTTGCCCACTTTGTTTGGCTCAAAGAGTAAGAAAGAGAGGTATAGAAAGAGAGAGAGATAGAGAGAGAGAATGTGTGAGTCAGAGGGAGAGGTAGAGAGAGAGAGAGAAAGCTTTAGTTTATAGAGAGCGGGTTGGATTCCCCAAATAATATTCAAATTAGATTCCCCGAACAAATTCATGGTGAGTATTTAAACAAAACAATAAAGTATTAGTATTTTATTTTCATATTTTAATTACTTTCTTTTTTAGTTCTGATCAACCTCAATCTTAGTAAACAGCGAGGGAGGAGCTTGGTAATTATCGGCTTATGTTTCTAATTGTAGGTCCCTTTGCATTTTATTACTGCACGTTATAGGTCAGAAGATAATTAACAATTTTTAGCTTGTAGTCCGGCAGCCAAATCCAGATTATTGGCCTAACCTTGTTTTAGGGTCTATAGTTTTTTTTTCAATGGATTATGATTGCCTAAACCTTCTATTTGACGAATCCGATTGCTGACACTCTGTCAGCCTTGAGCAATTTAAGATATGTGACGTCATACAAAATGGCCGCCAAAGTACATGATTTTTCTCTAAAAATGTATAATAAATATATAATAGGGCTTTTTCTACAATTTTGGGCTGCCAAATGTCTGTATCTCTCTAGGACCATCACTAAAAATTGTTTCGTGATGTTGCACGGCCATAGATGACAAGCTAATTTGCATATTTTGAAATAGCGCCCTCTATAAATATATTAATTTTGCATAAAAATAGGTGTGCCAGTCAAATGCCAATTTCTTAGATCTACGTCACGCTTAACACATATTATATGCTATATGCATGAAATAATTACGATTGTGCTGCATTTATCTTACATATTTTTTGGTCTAAATTAAGATACATGTAAAGAAACCAAGATCTACAAGAGAATCAGTGAGAAGTGATTTTACGGTACATTATTGTTCCATTCATAGGCTTTATTTAGACCAGCATTGATCCAGCGTCAGTTAAAGATGATAAAGCATTTGGCATCGGTACCAGACAGATGCATGAGTTTTAACAGAAGTTACCTGGTGGATTCTATGACACAATTTCCAAGAAAGTCTACAACGGGTACCTGACAAAAATTGTCAGCCCAGACACCAACTGTAAACCAAAGTGTTTCTGGAGTTTCATAAACGGCAAGCGATGCAATGCTTCAGGGTTGGCTCCATTGAAATAATCTAATGGAATTACTTACTCAGATAGCCTCTCAAAGGCGAACATTTTAAGTAATCAGTTTTCATCCATCTTCAACTGCAATGAAGATATGACTAGTCTGAGAGACAAAAGGACGAAGCCCCTACCCAACCATGGATCACATTAATATCTCGCCACCAGGGGTTCTGAAGATCCTGTCTGAGCTTGATGTTCATAAAACCACTGGTCCTGACCAAATCCCAGCCAGACTTCTGACCACCAAACTGACACCTGTGTTCCCTCTATTCTTCCAAGCCTCCCTTAACCAGAGCGTGCATATCTGATAAATGGAAGATGGCTTTATATATTGATCCCATCTTCAAGAAAGGTGACCGTAGCAAGCCAGAGAACTACAAAGCTGTCTCTCGGACGTCAGTAACCTGTGAAGTACTGAAGCACATCGTTCTTAGCAGCAACATGATCCACCTTGAAAGCCACAACATCTTGTCTGATGCACAACATGGCTTTCGAAAGAAGCGATCCTGCGTCTCACAGCTTGTCCTTGCTGTCCTGGACCTTGCCAAAGGCATCGATGCCAGAGACCAATTGGACATGACACTCCTTGGTTTCTCCAAAGCATTTGACAAGGTTCCCCATGGAAGGCTAGCTGTTACACAAGCTCCAATTCTATGGAATCTGGGAACCCACACATGCTTGGTTTTATGGCTTCCTGAGTTACAGGACCCAGCAGGTGTTACTGGAAGGACCCATCTCCAACACCAGCCAAGTAACATCTGGTAACATCTGGCATCCCGCAATGCAGCGTTATCGGCCAGATGCTGTTTCTCCTCTTCCTCAATGATCTGCCACCGTACCTCTCCCCAAACCCAACAGTCAGGCTCTTTGCTGACGATGGCATGCTATACAGCAACATCAAGACATAGAAAGACGCCTAACGTTTACAAGAGGATCTTGACTCACTGCAACGCTGAGGGCGATTGGCTGATGGAATTCATCCCACATAAATGTCAGGTTCTACATGTCACCAATAAACGCAAATCCATCATCAAATTCACGGACAGACCCTAGATGACAAAAATATAGCAAAGTATCGAGGTGTTGAGTCGCAGAAAAACCTCAGCTGGAACCCACACATCAACATTATCAGCAAATACTCCAACTCCACCCGTGCCTTTCTTCAAAGAAATATCCAACCATGTCCTAGAAAAATTGAATAATTGTGCTACGATACTCGCCTTCAACCAATCATGGAGTATGCCATCATCATAATTATATGGGACCCTAACACTCAAACAATTAGCAATCATCAAGAAGCTTGAAATTGGTCAACGGCGCTATGTCCGCTCCTACTGCAATGACCACTGCAGGACAAGCAAAGTAGAAGCCATCCTGAACCAGCTCAAGTGGCCAACATTACAAAAACGCAGGGTACAGGCTCAGGTGGTGATGATCTTTCGTATCAACAACCCGCTGAAAGACTTTCCACATACTTTCCTAACTCCATCAACATCCCTGCACAGAGGGCATTCCAAGAAGATAATTGTTCATTTTGCCTGAATGCTTGTCTAAAAGAGCTTCTTCCCGGATACAATAAGACTCTGGAACTCCTTCCCTTTGAACACCGTCAATCGTACCTCTGTTTAACAGCTTCAAGTAAGAGTTTCTTGCTGTGCAGCTCCTGCTATGACTAAACAGTCAAATCCTAGAGAGGCAGGTCCTGTTGCAGTTGCTGCAGACAAATTTTACGTGTGGCAGTCTGAAGCATAGGCTTCCCATTTTGTAGGGTTGATTTCACTGGCCTCCATATCCCTCTTGCACACATCCATGAAGCGAAGGCCAGGTCTTCTAACAGTCCTGGTTCTGGTCGCTAACTTTCCGTACAAGATGTCTTTTGAAATGCGGCCGTCTTCCATTCGACTGACATGACCAAGCAATCTCAGCCGTCGTTGTGATAGAAGAGCGTAGATGGTCATCATCCCTCCTTTTTGAGGACATCCTTGTTTGGAATGTGGTCCTGCCATTTGATGCCTAGGATTCGCCTCAAGTAGCGGAAATGGAAAAAATTAAAACGGCGCTCCTGACTTGCATACAGGGTTCACGACTCACTGCCATACAGGAGAGTGCTGAGCACATAGGCCTGGTAGATCTTCATTTTCGTGTTGGTGGTTTATAGTAAAGTGTTCTTCCAGGCCTGCTTTGAGTGTCTAGCCATCTTGGTTGCTGCATTGCCAATGTGAACGTTGTGCTCGAGATCAAGGGAGAGGTTGCTTAATACATGGAGCCGAGGTAGGTGAAGTTTTCAACCACTTGGAGGGTGTAGTTTAATTAACATTAGAGGATTCGAAAGTCTATGACACCAAGTTGATCTACTCTAGAGTAATAGGACTGCAGGCAAGTTGAAGATATGTCAATATCAAGAATATTTTGTCATGGAAGCTTTCACCAGGTCAAAGGCGAACTTGAAGAATTTGACAAAGGTTGACGTGTCACTTGAACAACCATGTACAGCCCGTTTGATGGTTGTGCTCTACTCTAGATTAAAATCTGATGATCTTTGGTTGGTGTGCCACCAGGGTTTCTAGAAGTCATGACGAATCGAGAGTCATTCAAAAGAGTCTTCCCACCTCACTGCTTCCCTCCCAGAAACTACTGACAACAAACTACAGTTGACCGACATCATATACCGGTATGCGTGATTCTGCAGAATGATGAGGTGTTCAGAAATACGCAAATGCACAAACTGGTCATTACCGGTCAAGATGAGGTATCTGTTGAAGTGATACCAGGCAGCGATGTCATGCCAAGGGAAGATCTTTCCATAACACATGAAGAAGCAGACAACATCATAGTACAGCAAGCGATTCAAACTGCTGCTAATGAGAAAAGGTATGTTAGGGTCCTGGCTGTTAGGGTTAGGGTCCATCATTATCTACATGAATAATTAGAACGCCAATGATCATGGAGTCATCAAAGAGCGAACTGTTATTGACATTCCTGCTACTGTACACAAGTTAGGAGATATCATTCCATCGATGTTGGCAGGACATGCGTTGAGGGGATGCGACACTATTGGGTCATACTTTGGGATTGAAAAGGGTACATGCATTTCGGAATGCTGTCACTGAAAACGGGCATTTATAACCATATGGCACCTCATATCTATGGGACAGAGAGCATGAAATTCTAGCTTGTTTTCTTCAAGTATTAATGATAAAGACCAGTTATGGTCATGCGATTGCATTGTGAAAGAAACGTTGTGGAATCGATCAGAAAAGGTTGATCATCTAGCTTATAAGTACTGCAAGGTTCTGGAATCATCAAAACGATTAGAAATTTGGCCCAGTCTTGGTAAAGTTACAAGCAGTGTACACAGAAGGATGTATATGGGACTACGCGACACGTGCGCGATATCTATCAGGTCTAAATAGATATAATAATTTACCAAATATATCAATTAGTAGGCGGTTTCTCGGCAAAATTTGTATCATCACGTATTAGTCAAAACATATTCTTTCACATGATTGGTGATAAGAGCTTCCATTTCATTTTTTGAGAGGGGGCGTTTCCAAAACTGATCTTTACCTTTAAAGTACAAAATAACAAAAAAATCACACCAAAATGTGGTGCACAATTTTTACTAATTGTATTCAGTGCGTCTGACTTATAAAACATGTTAATTTCATGTTAGAAATTGGCATTTGGCCATCATTTAAAATTTGCAAGTTAACGTGTCTATAGAGGGCGCCAATCTGAATGATGCAAATTTACATGCCATTTTTTATCATACAACATCGTCAATTTTTATTTAGTGATGATCCTAGAAAAAAATCAAGATATTTGACTGACATTTAATGTAGCAAAATACTGTAAACAATTTTGTTATCATTAATTTTGGTAAAAAAGGGTATTTTGGCGGCCATTTTGTGTGACGTCACATATCTCAAATTGCTCAAGGCTGACAGAGTGTCAGCAATCGGATTCTTCAAATTGATGGTCTAAGGAACTATAATCCAAAAAACAACAACTATAGACCCTAAAACAAGGTATATCGAGATGGCTGCCGGACTATTGCTCATTCCCACTTTCCTACTGTTTCTTTTTCAATACCTGCCTACTCTCTTATTCACTCCCCCTTTCTCTCTCTCTCTCTCTGTTTTCATCTCTTTCCACCTGTTAAATTGCTGTCGCTTAGTTAATCTAGATCAATTTCCCAATTATAACTCTACTTCATAGCCGATTTATAGCTCAAAACATCACAATTGATCTATTCATGTCACTCCTCCCCCGTCCTCTCTCATTCTTCTATTACAACCTTTTCTCTCACCCCTCTCTCTCTCTCTCTCCCTCTTTCTCTCCCCGCGTCTCTCTCCCTCTATCACATACCAATCTCTCGACTACTTGGTTATGCCATACTGCTTTCTTTCTCTCATTTACAACAATTGGGGGGGGGGGGGGGTTATTTGTATTGTTTTGATATTGAATGTAATCAAAATAAATAATTATGGGGAAAAAAGTGTGTGTGCGTGTGTGTTAATTTTTATTTAACAAACGTGTATCCATACGAAATAACTCGGGTGTGGGACCGACCGTTAACGTCACCATCCGAAAGACGTGACTAAGTTTCGCAAACCTGGTTCCTATCAGAGCCAGTTTGTAGACGTAGACAGAGAGAACGGACATTACCACTAGACCAACTCACATCACTAATACTGATGACACTTAACAATATGCCTATACATTTAACAGGTATTCACCTAATATTTAATTTACACAAAACTTAATAACAGTACTACTTCGATGTATTTCAGGCGTATAGGTCTATACCAAAATACAAATTGATTCACATCATATCTTGGGGAAAACCGAATACATGAAGTACTGACCAAAATTCCTTACAATACTTTTGTACATCTCGGGAGTATCAAATTACAAATGCATATGTTGTTGTTTTTGTTGTGTTTTGAGTTATTGGCGATTAGTCAGTGATTTGACTATTGTCGCCAAATTACTTTACGGCACGTGTTATATCTCTCAATTTTGGATTAAAAAAAAAAAATATTTATTTCGTTTTATATTTATCTATCTTTTAAGATAGTATCGTAAAATAATATCGTAAGCAAAACATTCATGGGCTTTGTTGGTGTTTCTTAACAGTACGTGCAGATTATTTGTTATATCACATACACACCATACATAAATATGTATATAAGATAGCACCTACACAAGCTCCTATATTCAGTAATCTTATCATACCTTTTATCATTGTTGTTACTTTTTCTTATTTTATTTTCTTAATACATTATGTTATTATATTTTTAATGTACTGAGTGTAATTTAACATATTTATAATATCGTATTATGTTTTACTGTTCTTATTTTATTTTCTTATTACATTATGATTGTTATTATATTTTTAATGTACTGAGTGTAATTTAGCATATTATAATATTGTATAATGTTTTACTATTCTTATTTTATTTTCTTATTACATTATGTTATTATATTTTTAATGTACTGAGTGTAATTTAACATATTTATAATATTGTATTATGTTTTACTGTTGTTATTGTATTTTCTTATTACATTATGTTATTATATTTCTAATGTACTGAGTGTAATTTAGCATATTTATAATATTGTATTATATTTTACTGTTCATCAAGGGAGGTATTACTTCCTGATAGGGAACCGTTTCGTTCTGAGAAAGAACCGTACAATAGCTATTTGTATACTGGACTCACTCTTTTTTAAGTATTCCATAATTTTTTCAGGTTGGGATT